TTTTTGGTTAAATAAACGTAATCTAAAATCTTTTAAAAATTATTATTCTATCTGGATACTTCCTCGTTTCAGCCTTCAAGAGAGAATTAGAAATAGCAAGACTCATGGCGAACATTTTTGGAGAAGTGTATTTCAAGAAATAAGGAATAACATCCAAACAAAGTTTACTTTACCGCATTTGGAAACTTTATTAAAAAAAAATCAAATCACATGAAAAGTAAGTTTTGTTTTATATTTAATTTTTTTTTTGTACGAAACAAGTAACGAACACACAAATATTAATTAATCACTTTTTTTCGCAGCAGATACATAATTAAAAATTAATCAATTACCGCACAAAATAAGCAGCATAACCTTATTTCAGATAAAATCGCATTATATTTTTCACATTTTTGATCGTAAGGTATCTCAAAATGTATTTACAAAGCCCTTTCGCTGTCAGATTAATCCACCTCGTCTGTGACATCTTGCATTTAATTTTTATAGAGGCTTCATTTACCCTAATAAAAAGACACAAGAAATAAAAAAAGTATATTTCTAACACCACAAATACATACAAACGCAGACTTTAGACAATCTCATAAAAATAAACATTTCATCTTAATTAAATACATTCCTATAATTAATAATATTTTATTCTTAATCACAAAGCCAAATCATTAAAATTTCCACATTTTGAAAGATGCCAAAAATGGTGTGAGATCAGCCCAATCTGGAAATTCTTCCAGAAATTGTTTAAAGTGAGGTGTTTTAACGTTATTGACCTCGTGGACATATCTTCCCAAAACTGCAATATCTAAAATCGAATGCTTCCAGTTTTGGGGTACTTGGAGATGCATAGAAAAATTTAAAGGCCTTTTCTCAATCCCCCAAGCATAATTTATGAAATAAGTCGTCTGGTTCTTCCATTTAGGTCCCTCTTTTATTTCTGAAGACAAACTAATATTTTTTAACGCCACCCCCAATTGTAAAGCAAAGTAGATAGTCATGTGAGTTGGTCCTGGAATTCAAAATTATTTATGTTACAAAACAGTTAATGATTTAACAATAATATGCATACCTGAAGCAGAAAAATTGAGCATTACTAATGTTGGACTTATGTTTTCTTTGTTTTGTATGATTAGTTGCACATCTTCTTGAATTATTGGCTGTTCAGCGGAAATCCAGCTACTTTTACTTCTAAAAGAGCAACAAAAAATATTAGAATCGAAAATATCGTACATCGTTTCTTTAACACACAATACTTCAATAGCTCGTGGGTGTAATATGGGCATTCCATAAAATAATTCGCTATCAGACAAAGTGTTAACACTTTGAGCTTTTTTGACATCTTCCACAAAATTTTCAACACTTCTTGGAGAATTTCTGTCCAAATTTACGATAAAATATCCAGCATCTTGTTTATAAACGGTTCCGTTTATGTTATAAAATGCTCTTCCAGTATGCTACAAAAAAAAAATGTTTTGATTACATTAACACCGCAATAATGTTATTGTACTTGTATCCAAAAACGTTGAGGGGCTGGAGAAGAAAAATCTCCACTGTATGGGAATCCCAGAGGAGTAAAAACAAGTCCAAAAAATGCCAAAAAGGTAATTAAAAACCCATAAAATACTTTTAATGGACTTCTAACAAGGGTTATCAAAGGGACCTACATATAAAAATCAATGTTATTTTAATTAATTTTAAATAATTTAAACTTACAAACAAACTACTTATTAAAACGGAAAGAATTAGAGTTGCGAAACCAACAAACAGTTCCGGATTTTTATTACTACCAAACCTTCCAGTAATAGGAATGACAAAGGTCATTAAAATCACACTCGTGTACATTAAATAGCAGACAGGAATTAGAGTGCTTATCAGGTGTAAAAATTGCCAAGTCCTAACTAAATATAATATATTTACAATTACGATAACAGAAATAAAATTAGTAGCATATTACGCTTGAAAAAGGTATGGCATAACAGATTGTACATATGTAGAGTAATCTCTCGATAAAATTTGTTGAAACAAAAATTCACATGTATCATTAATTACTTACAAAATATAACAAAGACACTTACCAGAGTACTGAAGTTTAGAAAAATGTATAACAGCAAAAACTAAACTATTAAAAACCAAAGGTATTTGGATTATATGCGAAGCCCTAATATTAAAAAAGGTACCAATCACAAGAGGCACACACCATATCAATCTTACACAACTTAACTGAACTTGAGTATGTGCTGCAATTGAATTATTTTCCTAAAATATAATATAACTTTGTTATAGCATTGATTACATCATTTCAAAAAGGTACTTACTTTAAATGAGTATTTGTTTGCAATTATTATAACTCCACAACATAGACCCCAAATGGGTACTACATAAAGACCTAGTATAATCCAGGGATTTCTATACCAACTCATAGTGTAACCCAAATAATCAAGTAGAATTCCCAAAATTACAGTAAATCCTATTGCAAGTAACCATCCCACAATGATCCCCATTTTGGTTATCAAAATATATAATAAGTCTTCTTTATTGAGTCCTGAATATTTTAAGTTTATAATATAATGAAGTTAATTTACTATAATATGTTCAAGTGGCAAAAGTAAATAAAACTCACGCAGTCCCAAAGTAAAAAAGCATCTGAAGGCAACTATGAGACATAAAAGAGCAGTTGAGTAGTTTAATAAAGTTGCTACGTTTATTGTGTAGACAATCATAAAAAGACCAAAAAAATCGTAATAAACTACTTTAGTTTGATCCTGGGATTCTAAATTATCAATTTCAGTAGTGTTTACCAAATTTTTAATTAATGACAGCACATTATCACCAACATGTTGAAATGACCCAAGTGGAATGTTATCAAAACCATCATACTTGGTGTGATACCTGTATCCACTTCTTACAAATGCCATATCATAGCCTACATACAAACTCAAAATAGATGTTTATAAATATTACATAATCTGTAATAAGCTTACCAACAACCCCACCAAAATCTCTAAACACTCTAAAGTCTGTATCTGAAGGAATTAAATTATTTTGAAATATTTCTTCCCCTGTCACTTGTCCTGCAGGATGTGGAACTTTGCTGAACTTGTGCACCAACCAGGGCTGCCCTGGACCAGTTTGAAATAGAATTATTTTACCACCTGCCCCTGCAGCTTCTAAATTAATGACTACTTTACAATTTCCAGCCCAATTATGTTGAGTAATAAAGCCATGAGACGCTTGCAAAAAAGACTCTTCTGCCCCATTAAAAAGAAAAATTATATCATGTTCAAAATCGTCTGCTGACCTGGAAAGCACTCGCAGAACTTCCAACATTGTTGCACAATTAATACCATCATCGCTACCCCCTGAAGTTTATTTACCTATATGCAAATTATACAAAACAATATTTAAAAATAAAAAGAAAAGCTCACCTGGACTTGTAGGTACAGAATCAAAATGAGCATTTATCAAAATACTTTTATTTTTGTTATTGTTTATGGAAGACAATTTAACAATCAAATTTTGAACATTTCCATATGCATTCACTATACCATAGGGGGCATAATCGAGATAGTATGATCCTGAAACTGTTTGTAAATCGACTTTAATTTTTTTGTTAGAATGTGCATTGATCACAATGTCGTTAATTTGTTTTTTCAAATATTGAACAGCCAATAATTCATTTTCATAACTACCCACAACCCTAGGGCCAAAATCTGTTAAGCCTTTTAAATAATTTCTAGCTTCTTCAGCAATAAACTTTTCAGAGTACTTCTCCTACAAAAACATTCATTTTCATGTTACTATACACTGTAAGACTGAAAAAATCAAAACCTTGTCAGCACTTTTTAATGGAACTGGTAATATGCTGTCTAAGAGAAGAGACAATCCAAACAAGCCCAGTAATAAAATTACAAAGAAAACAACAAACAAAGGTGATATGCTGTGAATACTTGATGAAGGTATATTCCCTTTATATTCTTCATTACTTCTCTCTTCAAATTCCATAGTTAAAGGCTCAAATGTAACATGTTTTTGCTCACTTCTGTTTCTCATTTTATGTGATTACTGATTACTTATCAAAAGCACATTTACTCTTTATGTTGGCTACAAAAAGTAATAGAAGTGTATCGAAATGAAAACTGCAACACAAAAAGAAAACAAACGATATAAAAAAAATAATGTGGGTAAATACTCAGTTCGATTTACTATAAATAACAATAGCTTTAGTACTAACGTGTACAATATTCATTTAATTTAAGAAAAAATCACTTATTGAAAGGAAATAACAATAAAAAAGATTATGAGTACTCACCGGTACCACACAACTCAAAATATGCAAAATAATTTAGTCTTTTCTTAACCTATGGTCATTTTAGACTTTAGAAGTGTCTCCAATTGAAATACAAATGCAAATTGTAGCAATCTCTTTTTTTTTAAAAATGTATTTATATTTTATTTTTTGATATAGATGATAAAGACTTATTATCTATGGGCAACATAGACAAATAGCGATATATACCCATTGTATATACCATCGACTTTTAGTAATGGACATGCCTTAGCGGTCAGAATTGTGGTACAAAAGAAAGAGATGGAACGAAGTTTCACATATGTAAATTCGAGACGTTAAATTCTGCTACTAATGAGATAAGAGGTAATACATAGCAAAATTAGAAAAAAAAAGCGAAGTAGGTATAATTGTTTCAGTTTTTCAACAGTAACAAAAATTTTTCTCATTAATTTACGATAACCTATAGTAGAAAAGAAATTGAGAATGAATTACTTCTTTTTAT